CGTCCCCCCCCCTCACCTCCCGGTTCCCCGCAGCCCCCGAGAGCCAGAACGGGAACGGGCTGAGCCCGGGGGGGCCCCCCGCGCACCCCCCGAGCGGCCGCATCACCCGCAGCCAGCCCGGCCCCGTCAGCAACGGCAAAGAGACGCGCAGGAGCGGCAAGAGATAACGGGGACCCCCCCGGGAACCCCCCCGGGACCCCCCCGGCACCGGGGGATCCCCGGTTCCCCAAACCCGCGGCAAGGAGGGGGTGCCCGGTGTCCCCCCCCGGGCGGGTCCGGACCCTCTCCGCTGCTCGGGGGTCCCGTGGGGGGCGGCTCTGCCTGGACCCCCCCTCGGAACCCCCTCGGAATCCCCCAGGACGCCCCCGGGAACCCCCTGGCACCGGGGGGTCCCCGGTTCCCCAAACCCGCAACGGGAAAAGGGTTCCCGGTGTCCCCCCGCCCCGGTGCTGGTCCCGACCCCCCTCCGCTGCCCGGGGGTCCCGGCGGGGTCCATCCCGTGCCCCCCGCCCACCCTCGGGAGGGGTTAATAAAGAACCGAGCTCTGCCCCCGCCTCAGCCGCTCTGCCCGGACCCCCCCCGCCCCCGGGCCCTCCCCGCGGCCCCTCCCGGTACCGGGGCCGGCTGGGAGCAGCTCCGGGGTGACCCTTGGCCCCCCCCGGCTCGGGCGCGACAGGCGCGGGACGGGCTCGGGGACAGCGAGGGGACGATCGGGGGGCGCGTCCCCATCGGCTCAGGTGGGCACGGGTGGGCACGGGTGGGCACGGGAGGGGTCCCGGGTGTGGGCCCGGGGCTGTCCCCAAGCCCCGGTGCCACCACCACACGTGTCCCGTGCGGTGACCCTGGTGCCGCCTGTCGCTTTCCCCACGGACGGGTGACAGCGGGGGCAGCCCCGAGAGACCCCCCCGGCTTTGGGGTGACCCCAACATCGCGCTGTCCCCCAGCTGCTGCCGCGGGATCCGGCCCCATGAGCCGCCCTGCGCTCCTCCTGGCCGTGCTGGGGCTGCTGCTTCTGGGGGTCGGGGGGGCTCCGGGGACCGCGGGGACCCCGGCGCTGCTCCCCGAGGACGCGGCGCAGGAGCACGGCTACTACCTGCGGCAGCTCTTCGGTCAGTACGGGCAGAACGGGACGCTGCCCTTCGAGGGGCTGGCGCGGCTGCTGGGCAGCCTGGGGCTGGGCAGGGTGCAGGTGGTCCAGATCCAGCACGAGGAGCTGGGCCACGGCCACGTCAGCCACCTGGACCTGCTGGAGGTGCAGGAGGACAAGCACCGGCACCGGCACCCGCTGTGGGAGCACGGCGGGGATGCGGCTCCGAGCACCGGCGGACCCCTCAGGTACCCGCGGGTCTCCTCCCCGAGGGGCTGCCCCCGGCTCCGCGCTGGGCCGGGGTGGGGGGCTCAGCACACCCCGATTTCCCGCAGCCCCCCGCCTTCCCAGACGCCGAGCTGGCCCGAGCCGGTGCCCGCCGAGCCCCCCGGGGCTGCGGGGGTCCCCCGGCAGTACCAGCCCACCCTCAGCCTGCTGGGGAGGGTGCTGGGCTTGGAGCACTCCAGCGACCACCCGCACCACGATGTGAGTGGGGACGGGGGGGTCGCGCTGTCCGGCGCTCCGGGAGCACGGGGGAGCCCCGGTTACTCCCCGGTTGTTCTCCGGGACGCCCCCAGCGCTGCCCCCCGCCCGCAGTGCCTGAACGTGACCCAGCTGCTGGTGAATTTCGGGCTGGACCCGGTGGCGCAGCTGACACCGGAGCAGTTCACGCTGCTGTGCCCGGCGCTGCTCTACCAGATCGACAGCCGCGTCTGCATCCGGCACCGCGATGAGGTGACGCTGCCTCCCCCGGGGGGGACCCTGTGGCCAGGTAACCCCAACCCGGGGCTCCGAGCTGGCCCCCGGCCCCACGTCCCTCGTCCCCGGGATCCCCCGTCCCTGCAGCCGCATCCTGGGGTCCCGGAGCTGGTCCCGGGGTCCTGCGTCCCCAGGGATCCCCGTGTCCTGAGCCAGGTCCTCTGTCCCCATTATGATGTGGGGGTCTTCATCCCTGCATCCCCAAGGCGCCCCCATTGCCCACCCCCATCCCTGTGTTCCCCTACTTGAGCTGTGCCCCCCTGGCCCCCCATTCCTGACCCTGGGCTCTCCATTCCTGGGGTTTCCGTCCCTAAATCTCTGGGATCTCTGTCCCTAAATCCCTGGAGTCCCCATTCCCACATCCCTGGGGTCCCTATTCCTGGGGTCTCTGTCCCTAAATCCCTGGGGTCTCCATCCCTGGGTCCCCATCCCTGGGGTTCCCATTCCGACATCCTTAGGGCCCCCATTTCCACACCCCTGGAGTCCCTATTCCTGGGGTCTTTGTCCCTAAATCCCTGGGGTCTCCATCCCTGGGATCCTAATTCCCACATCCCTGAGTTCCCCATCCCTGAGCTCCCCATCCTGGGGTCCCTAAATCCCTGAATTCCCCATCCCTGAATTCCCTATCTTGGGGTCCCCATCCCCATTCCTCCATCCCCGAGTTCCCCATCCTGGGGTCCCCATTCCCCCATGCTGGGTCCCCCATCCCTGAATTCCCTATCCTGGGGTTCCCATTCCCCCATCCCTGAATTCCCCATCCCTGAGCTCCCCATCCTGGGTCCCCCATCCCGGGTCCCCCATCCCTGAGCTCCCCACCCCCGCGCCCCCATCCCCACCTCCCCACGCCCCCTCCCGGTGCCCCCGTGGGGCGGTGCCGCTGACGGTGCCCGCAGCGCTGGGCTGGGCGCTCCTGGCCGTGCTCTCCGTGAGCCTCCCGTCGGCGCTGGCCGTGCTGCTGCTCCCGCTGCGGGTCCGCGGCTCCTTCCGCTCGCTCCTCGCCTTCCTGGTGGCCCTGGCCGTGGGGACGCTCTGCGGGGACGCCCTGCTGCACCTCTGGCCGCACGTAGGTCCCTCCCGCCGCGGGGGTGGCCCCGGGGCACGCCGCGGTGTCCCGGTGCCCTGAACCGCCGCGTCCCCGTGTCCAGGCGCAGGGGAAGCACCCGGAGGCTCCGGGGGAACCGAGCCCCGCGGTGCTGCAGGGGCTGGCGGTGCTGGGGGGCATCTACCTGCTCTTCGTGCTGGAGCTGCTCCTGGGGATGCTGCGGAGCCGGCGGGAGGCCACGGTGAGAGCGAGAGAGCGAGCGAACGGCGGGCACCGGGCGGGCACGGCGCCGCCACCGGGGCCAGCTCCGCACACAACGCCTCCCTTGTCCCCAGGGACACCCCCATGGAGAGACCCCCGCACCGTCACCGGCAGGTACGACCCCCTCGCACCCCTCCCGGGAGCCCCCGGCCCCGGCCCCGGCACCCACCGGCCCCGGCGTGTCCGTCCCGCCGCAGGGACCGAGCTGCGGCACCTGACGGCGCCGGAGGCGGAGCTGGAGCTGAGACCCCCCGAGCCCCCCCGGGGACCCCCCCACGGACACTCCCACGGCCCCGCACTGCCCCCCGGGCCCGGGGCCGCCGACATCGTGTGGATGGTGGTGCTGGGGGACGGCGTCCACAACCTGACGGACGGGCTGGCCATCGGTGGGGACGGGGACGGGAACGGGGACGGGGATGGGGATGGGGAACGGTGATGGGGACGGGAACGGGGTCGGGAACGAGAATGTTCATGGGGACGAGAAGGGCAGAGGGACGAGGACGGGGCTGGAGATGGGAACTGGGATAGGGAACGGGGATAGGGATGGGAAACGGTAATGGGGACGGGAACGGGGATGGGAAACGGGGATGGGAACGGGGATGGGGAACGGGGATAGGAACGAAACGAGCAGAGGGACGAGGACGGGAATGGGGACGGAGACGGTGATGGGAACGGGGAACCGGAACGGGAACAGGGACAGGGATGGAGATGGAGGAGGAGAGGTGCACAAGGACAGGAGAAAGGTTTCCTCAGGGACAGAAGGATGTTGGGGACATGGGGACAGGGGTGCATCGGGACAGGGTGACAAGGGGACAGGGGCTGCCCGGCGATCCGGGGACAGGGGCACAGCGGACGGGGATCGCTCTCCCTCCCCGCAGGAGCCGCCTTCTCGCACGGCCTCTCCAGCGGGCTCAGCACAGCGCTGGCCGTGCTCTGCCACGAGCTGCCCCACGAGCTCGGTGAGTCCCTGTCCCCGTCCCTGTCCCCTCCCCGGAGCTGGGGACACCCCTGAGCCCCCCGTGCCACCCTCCCGTGGCCGCAGGTGACCTGGCGGTGCTGCTGCGGGCGGGCACGGCCCCGCGCTCCGTCCTGCTCCTCAACCTGCTCTCGGCGCTGCTCTCCTGCCTGGGGGCGGTGGCGGGGGTGGCCCTGGGTCACAGCGGGACCCCCCTCGCCCCCTGGCTCCTCACCGCCACCGCCGGCATCTTCCTCTACGTGGCCCTGGCCGACATGGTAAGGGGGGGTCTGGGGGTGTCCGGGGGTCTCACGAGGGGTTTGGGAGTGTCCGGAGGTCTCATAAGGGGTTTGGGGTGTCTCACGGTGGGTCTGGGGGGGGGGGGGGGGGGGGGGGGGGGTCTGGCGGATTCCGGGGGTCTCCCATGGAGATCTGGGGGTACCCGGGGGTCTCACGGAGCCCCCCCCGCTCTTCCCCAGCTCCCCGAGGCGCTGCGGGGCTCCGGCGAGGGCACCTGGAGCCGCTTCGTGCTGCAGAACGCGGGGTTCCTGCTGGGCGCTGGCATCATGCTGGGCATCGCCCTGGCCGAGGGGCACCTCCGCTCCTGGCTGCAGCCCTGAGCCCACCCCCGCGACCCCCGCCCCTCCCCAGGCTCGGATTTTCCCCCCTCCTCAAGAAGCCCGGGGGGATCCGCGGGGCCGGGGCAGCCCCGGGGGTGAGGACTCGGTGTCCCCTCGGTGTCCCCTCGGTGTCCCCCGTCCCCTCCGGGGGTCGCACGCGGCTCCGGGGCTGAATCCGAACCCCCCCGAGGAGCTGAGGAAGGGGAAAGACCCCCGAGCAAGAACTGAGCCAGAGCAGCAATAAAAAGAACAGGGTTTGGTCAAAGTTACAGGGTGGAAAATTGATCAAGTTTGAATGGTTTTGCCTCTTTTTTTTTGGGGCTTTTTTAATCCCCTTTAAAAAATTCCTTTCCCTTCCTTACTCCCCGAAAACGATGCAGGATTTCTGAAAAAAGTCGGAGAAAAAAATCGGATTTTTGGGGTTTTCTGGCGTTTCTGCTCGCAGGGGAAGGGCGAGAAATCAGCAAATTCGGGGAGGGGGTTTTGAGTCGGCATTTCAAGGTTTGTTTTATTTCTGTTTTGAAATTTCACCTCAAAACTCTGCCCTGCTCGAGGCTGGAGGGGGCTCGGGGCTGGGAACTCCTTTGAGTCGGTGCTTGGGAGGGAAATGAAAAATCCCCCCGGATTTTCCCCACATTTCAGAGCAAAACTGGTTTAAAAAAAGACAATTTTGGGGGGAAGGAGCCGCTGCTGCATCATGGGGGGATCGTTCTGGGGGGGCTTTTCCCCCCCTCGCAAGGAGGATCCAGCCCGGGGGATGCTGAGAGGTGGGGAAATGTTTCCGCAGCCGGGAAAAAGGTGGGGAAAAACACGAATTAAAGGG